GTTTTGATCATGCCTCTGGCCAGTACTGCTGTACTGTTAGCACAAATAGTTTTGAAATAGAATAAGAAAGTTTCAAGCATTTTTTTTTTTTTTTTTGAGACTGAGTCTCACTCTGTTGCCCAGGCTCACTGCAAGCTCCACCTCCTGGGTTCATGCCATTCTCCTGCCTCAGCCTCCCAACTAGCTGGAACTGCAGGCACCCACCACCATGCCCGGCTAATTTTTTTGTATTTTTAGCAGAGACGGGGCTTCACCGTTTTAGCCAGGATGGTCTCGATCTCCTCACCTCGTAATCCACCTGCTTTGGCCTCCCAAAGTGCTGGGATTACAGGCGTGAGCCACCAACCCCAGACACAAAGTTTTAAGCACTTTTAATGTTAAACTAGTTATAACCAGTTTCACAAATAAAAACAATTTAACATAGTAATTGTATATGTTTATTAAGGCTGGGGAATATTTTTAAAATAAGGACAAATTCCAATTGAAACCTAAAATGAATCATTAGTATTATAAATTCTGAATCTTCCATTTCTTTAAAATTTTATTTTCATGTTACTTTACTTTACTACTATGAAGTAGCATCATTTCATCTGGATAACATAGCCCTTCCCAAGGCTAGTCTTTTTATTTTTTTTTCTATTTTATTTGTTCAAAAAATATTTATTACATAACTATTTTATATAAGCACTATGGTAGGCACTGTGAGGTATACATCAGAAATAGATCATGCTTGTAGGGAATTTACAGTGTAATTGGGGAGATTAAGATAAATATGTATAGAAATGATTATGATAAAAAGTTAAAAGCAGCTAATGCCATAAAAGAATGATTTCCATTCTATCCTTTGCCTTCTAGACAATTTATTTGTACTAGCCTGATAGATCCCTAATCTCTCCTTTAGTGACCCAATTCATATATATGTATATATATGAATGGTTTTTAAGTAGATAACAGAATATTTTTGTTCACATGCAGTTTTTATTTAGACTTCTTAATGATTAAGGATAATAGAAATAAAGAATATTGGGAGAAAAATAATTTTTAAAGCCTTATGACTG